TTTACATTCCCTTGGCAATCTCTGCTCTAGCTTTTGTGACAAGGTTAGTTCAAAGAGAAGACATCTCATTGGAAAATATTAATACCTCCCCAAAACCTAAAGACGTAGAAATCACAAAATTATCAGATAGCAACACTGATATTAAAGCGCACCAAGATATTTCTTCTGTGGATATGAATTCTCGAGGCTTTATGCCATGCAAATTCCTTATTTGTTCATCAAATTTCAATAAGATGCATTTATATGCACATGTTCACTGTCAACTTCCAATAATATTGACCAATATTTGCTTGATATATTTTATTGATTGGTGTCCTCAAGATTGGGTCATATTACATATATTTCGATTGGACGCAGTTTATGTAACAATTCCAATGCTGTTTACTTAGCTAAAAGATTTCAGCATGGTTTTGAATCCATAAATACAGGAATGATTACTATAATTATAAATAACTTTAACTTGGAAAATGAGAAAACTCTTCAACATTTTACTTCTAGAATTGAATTTCAGAACTCGTAAAATCATCTGCAAGAACTTTTGATGAACAAGTTATTCTTTTACATTTATGAGACAGTAAAGTGTATAACTAAAAGTTGTGTAGCATATGGAGAAGGAGAAGGAGAAGGAGAAGTTCAAAGATAAATAAGCTTCTATAAAAGCCTTAGAGCAATGAAATATAAATCCAACCAAATAATAGATAATTACTATTTATAGACTTGTTATATTTACCTAAATTTTTTTTACTAAGAATAATAAGATATTTTGTAATGCAAAAAAAAAAAAAAAAAAAAAAAAAAATTTTTAGATGGACCAACTTTCGCGAATTTGCAAGTTAGTGTGCAAATGTTTCAGTGTCTATCAGAAAAGTTACCCTCGCGTGTTTTATCTATATGATGGTTTATTTTTGAAAAAACATCATTCAGTTCTATTTCCATGCTCTTCACTCTATCTTAATTCATGCTCACTTTTACCTTGTTTTATATTTTGTATTAAAACTCGATGCTCTGTATTTTATGGAAGATCATTTATCTTATAGCTAACTGATTGGAGTCTAATATAATCCTGTTTCATTAGGACTTGTAACTTTTTCATGAGGCTAAGCTTGTCTTCTTATCTTATGCTATGGATTTTAGATTACTGATGGACCAACTTTCGCGAATTTGCAAGTTAGTGTGCAAATGTTTCAGTATCTATCAGAAAAGTTACCCTCGCGTGTTTTATCTATATGATGGTTTATTTTTGAAAAAACATCATTCAGCTCTATTTCCATGCTCTTCACTCTATCTTAATTCATGCTCACTTTTACCTTGTTTTATATTTTGTATTAAAACTCGATGCTCTGTATTTTATGGAAGATCATTTATCTTATAGCTAACTGATTGGAGTCTAATATAATCCTGTTTCATTAGGACTTGTAACTTTTTCATGAGGCTAAGCTTGTCTTCTTATCTTATGCTATGGATTTTAGATTACTCTGTCAAGTTATAATCCTGCTCTGAATTGGTCTCTAAGAACTCGTTGGACCATGAACATTGGCAAAGATGTTCACTTCTGAGACATGGTTTTGGATTTCATGTCAGCTCATGGTCTTAAATAAGAAGGGGGACACGAGAAGATCAAACTCTTATCAGTAGATATTATGAAATGAGGTTGGTCCTAGGTTTGTGGTACAGTAAGGATGAAAGATGGTGACTAAGCTGAATAAAGCCAGAAGATTAGATTATACACTTCATCAGTTTGGTACAATCAAGTTGGTCCTAGGCATCTGGTGTAGTACGTAATTAGTTTTACACTAACGTTGCCTTAAAAAAAACACAAGTCGCGCATTGCACAGGCATAAAACTAGTATATTCAAAAGAAATGAAATGTTGCATACTATAAATATTTATTTTTAGAAGTTCTTGTAAGTCATGTGACAGAGGTTTTTTTTATTTTATTTTATTTTATTTTTACAAATCCAGTTTAATCATTAGTCGAGTTTGGCGGTTACCTAAGGCATTGACTCAAGGAGCCTAGGCATTTGAATCGAAATCAAACTTTCTAAATTGAAATCTAATGTTCCTATTCGATTCCCAAAAAACAAATCAGGAACCGGAATTGAGAATTAAAAACCGAATGGGTTTGGTTCGAATCTTGGTCCCTGAACCAGAACCTGCATTGCACAGGCATAAAACTAGTATATTCAAAAGAAATGAAATGTTGCATACTATAAATATTTATTTTTAGAAGTTCTTGTAAGTCATGTGACAGAGGTTTTTTTTATTTTATTTTTACAAATCTAGTTTAATCATTAGTCGAGTTTGGCGGTTACCTAAGGCATTGACTCAAGGAGCCTAGGCATTTGAATCGAAATCAAACTTTCTAAATTGAAATCTAATGTTCCTATTCGATTCCCAAAAAACAAATCAGGAACCGGAATTGAGAATTAAAAACCGAATGGGTTTGGTTCGAATCTTGGTCCCTGAACCAGAACCATGGGTACTCAAATGAAATCTATTATTTTTATATTTTTTATATACAATTTATAAGTTGGGTAAAAACCCTAATTTGGTAGTAATTAGTCTAAATTGTAGACTCTACCCCCTAAAAAATCAAGATTGACCCCTACTTTTTTGCTTCTCGAGTCACATCAAATTATTGCATTTTCGAGATTAGGACATGTTAATTTTTGTAATTTAGGCTTTTATGAAGCAAAAGTTCAAGATATGTATTGGTGTAAATTGATGAATCAAATATTTCATTTTTTTTTTTTATCATTCGAGCCTTTTACTTTTTGCATTATTTATAAATTTAAGTGATCTTTCCTGTTTGGCCCCCATTAATTTTAATTCTATTACATTTCATTTTTCTATCTCTTATTTTCAATCACATAATCATCCATAAAATAATATTACACGTAAATCGAAAATTTTTCCTTCTTTTTAACCACTTATTAAAAAAGAAGAAGCAATATTCCGCCCATTTTCATTTCCACAAAATGGGGGCCAAACGGGGGACTTAATTTTATTTTAATAAAACGTTGTAATTGAACTTAATATATTCATAATTTGGGCCGTTTTATACCTTTTTAGTTATCTTGATCTCATAGTTCTCCTTTGAAATATATTTTTTCTTTTTTATTCTACTAATAGAACAAGTTCAATATGTGGATTGCAATTTCTTGATACTATATAATTATATATCTAATTAATATTTTTTTATGTAAATTTATTTTAAGAGTAGAAGAATTTAAGCATTGTCCATAATTAAATGATAGGTTATAGCATGCGTCACTCAAGGATCGAATAATATTTATCAAGAAAAAATTTCTTCTCAAACTGTAATTTAATTTTTAATGTCTTCATTTTTTTTTTTCTCTTTTCGTGATTTTTAGTCTCCACAATTTTGTTTCTTGAGAATTTTTTAGAAAAATTTTCTCCTTTGCAAAAATATTGTTGAGTAGTAGCCTGTTAGATATATGTACTGGAATGACATATATGAAAATGATTATTAAATATATTACAAAACATATTATGGGTATAACCAAATCGGAACCAGAACTGACGATTCGAGTTTGGTTCTAAAAATTACAAGGACCCGAATAATCTCATTTATGAAATAATCGAAGTATAATGTGTGGTTCTGGATATTAAAATATTCGGACTGACCCACTCGACACTTAGACCTAGGCGGGCTCCCAAATTTTTTAAGTTTATATATTTGGCTTTATTTCTTCTATTTTTACTCATTAATGTATTTTTAAAGACAAACTAAAAAATGCCCCCACCAAATCATTAAAATCTCTTTATTCTCCTTTTATTTTTTAACATTTTTCATTAATGGAGGGTTAAATGTGTGAATGATATATGAAGTTTGGCCAATTTACCAAAATCATACATAAGCTCAACTTTGTATCAAAATCATATACGAACTCACAAATTTGTATCGCATTCATACATGGTTAACTTCCATCAATCAAAACTAATGAAGGCCCCATTTGGGAGTGATTTTTCATCCTAAAAAATTAATTTTTTAACCGTTATTTCACTATTTCAACTTTAATTTTTGACTTCTTCTCTTACATGTGAACCGTACTTTTCTCCTAATGGTCAAAAAATCAATGTTCAAAATTCCTAATAAACAGGCCCAAAATAATCAACGTAGTAAACGGAGCACCTAGATAGCAATGAAGTGACATATACTTGATAAGTTAATTATGTGTATGGTACATGAACTTTATCTCATGTAACAAAATCATACATAAACTTAACTCTATATCGAAGTCATATACGATCGAAATTTTTTTATCTCATCCATACATGAATTAACATCCGCCATCAAAATTAACGAAACAACTCATGTGGCAAAGGAAATACCTAAGTGAAAATGACATGATAGACACTTGGTATTACCAAACGCTTCATCTTAATTGCATTTGATTTAAAAAAAACACACACACATCAGGGTTAGAAGAGATTGAGGGGACATTTTCCTTATATTCCATTATCCCACATTTCATATCTCTTTGTTCCCAAATTGCAGAGCATCAAACCGAAGCACAATATCAGAGTTCACGGAAATTAGTTAATAAGATCCATTGTCACTTTCATTGCACTTTAAAAGGGTGCCGTCTAAGGTCAGCCCAAGTAGTAGAGCCCACCCAATTTTCAATTCAATGGGAAATCTCTCGATTATGCTTAGAACTTCTATTTTAAGAATTGGTATACTTTGTTAGGTTGCATTCTAGGATGGGAACACGATAAAATTTATGGAGATTATATTAGGTTTTTTTACTTTCAGTTACAATCATCTCTCCTAAAATTCAACTATCTACGGGTCCACTTCATTCAATTGATTGAAAATTGTAATAAATTATAATTAAATTCAAGGTAATTTGGCTATAAAATAAATAAATAAAGGACCACAAGTGCAATAAAAATGTGAAAATGGAGACCAAAGTTAATAAGAAAAATAGACCGAGGATATCTGCCGTTATATTCCCAACTGAAAATAACAAGGAATCAGCCGGCCAAAGTAAATTACAAGAAAAGAAGCTCCCTTGTGCAACTCCCTCCCTAATGCGTGAGAACCCAAGAAAGAAGCTTTTTTTGGCTTCAGGCAGTCCACCGTGCCTCTCTCTACGCCACCACCGCCCCGGGAATTCAAGAATCAGGTTTCTCCTTCTCCACCACAACCAATCCATAAGACTAGTTTCTTCATCTGATAGCATTTCATTTGATTATTAGTCTTAATTTTGTCGTTGACTAAAGTTATTTTTATTTCGAAATGAAACTTTACTCTATGCATTTCAATATTTGGAGCTCTTTAAGCCGTTTGGAATTTACACTATCATGATTCATGATTGGCTGTTGGTTTGTGCAATAGGTTGTATGGAATAATTTAGGTTATTCGAAAATTATATATTAAGAGATATATATTTTAGTGGATAAATATTCATGAATTTCGTGGGGGTGAAATACGTGAAGATCAACTGAAATACATGCACAAAATCCTGACTATCAAGCATTTTATACGCGATGAAATTAATTACGGGCTGAAGAATTCGAAACAAACTTAAATGAGGTAATCAACTGCAATAGCACACCAAATCATTGTTTAACTATTTTACGTCAGAAATTGCTCTGAAACAGCCAACATTGAGTGGGGGCGGATTGATCGGCCAGGTGAGACGATATTCTTCTTCACTCATGTGACTACAGAACAAATATAGGTCAGCTTTTCTTGCCAACAAATGGGGTTGTGCCGACCGATCTGACTTTGAGGGTAAAGTTATAGGCTTTCCTCTCAAAAATAGATTCGAGAGAATATGTAAAAGTATCGTAACTTTTGTACATTTTGATGTGCGAGTGACGCCTTTGGGAGCATTTACAGAAGGGAAAGTCTTCATTCACTGGGAGTTATTAATTGTAGAAGGCAGAGTTAATGAGACAGACACTCCTTGTTAAGTGTTGTGGTTGGCCGGTCATTTCATCTTGAAAAAGTATATCTGACTGCCTATGGGACAGACTTTTTATTATTAGAGCTTAATTCATGTGTAAAGTCTACTCTTAAATATCTGTGGAACGACCGTTTTTCTTCATTGGCATGTACTGAGTACTGATGAAATTTTAATGTTGAGCTGCTTTTATACCAGCTTGACTGTGTCTGATCAGATTCCTCATGGCCAGCTATAGTGGCTGCCATCGGGTCAGTCAATCTCGTTGGGTGCTCATCCACTGTGGATTTCATGGTTCTTGTTGAACTACTTCATTTAAAAGTTGAAGTTGTTTAGGAGGCGACAAATTTATTCATTTAGATTTTATCTTCAAACACACCCCTCGTGTAGAGGCCAATTCTCCACATTTGCACAATTTTCAATAGTAGGTGGTAATGACTTAATTCATTCATGAGTTTTGCTACCACATGGAACTACTTTATCTAAAAGTTTCTGTTATAAGGAAAGACAACTTTATCCAAGTAAATTTTGTCTTCAACGAGCTATCTGTCTTTCTGGTGATGATTTATCTCACCACCTTAGCATGTATGCATCCATTATTAAGCCATTATTTTAGGGTGCAACAATTTAAATAGGCAATGGAACCAGTTTGACAGTTAACTTCAGTTGTAGAGGAATATAAATGGTATTTGGTGCTTTAGCTGTCCACAAGGTGTGTCCTTTGATGCCCATTGTCCAAATAAAATTAATTGTTTTGAGGAAATTAATGGAATATTGTGAGGTAATGAATCTCAAGTGTGGTAAATAAATTTCGGGATGACACTGCTCTACAGCCTTTTGTCATAGAACTAAGTGGCATTTCTCTTATCTTTCATGTATTCTTTTATCTTTCTACATTTCATGATTTTGAAAAAATTTCTTTCATGATTTTCGAACTCAGACTGATTTTTTTTGGTAAATCATTTGCTTTAATGCAGTTATCTGAGGATTTTAAATCATTTTCTTGAAAGGTGCAGTACAGCAGTAACTTGGGAGATTTTGACAACAACATAAAGTGCTATTTGCAATAGTAACTGCCAATGATTGTCTCTGCACTTCTAACTTCGGTTGGAATAAATTTTGGACTTTGTGTTTTATTCTTTGCTTTGTACTCTATTCTAAGAAAACAACCGGTGAACTATAATATTTATGTTCCCCGCTTGGTTGCGGAGGATAAATCTCGAACCAGTTATTTCAATATTGGAAGGCTTTTACCTACTCCCGAATGGATGGGACGTGCATGGAAGCCTACTGAAGATGAAATACTGTCTTCTTCAGGCTTGGATGCCGTGGTATTCATGCGCATCATCACCTTCAGGTAATAATTTTTCCTGTGATTTCAATAACTAACCATTGTGAAATATGATAATTGTTTACCTTGTGTATGAGAAATAGAAATAATGCATAATTCATTCAAGTAATGTGATTGGCGAGGAGGGAAGACCTTATTCAAAATTTGGAGATAAAAATTGTTCAATAACTTCAAATTTGTATCAGAATGAAAGAAAAGGCATGAGCACAAACCACTATCAGTTTGTTTTGGAGGACTAACACCACATTTGATCCCTTCATGCTTTCTCTGATCTGTATTATGCAGTTTAAAGGTATTTACTCTTGCTGGAATCATTGGAGTCTTCATTCTTCTTCCAGTTAATTGCACAGGGGATCAGCTACAAGATATAAATTTCGCAAATTTGACAAGCAATTCTTTGGATGTTTTTACCATCTCAAATGTAAATAATGGTTCCAAAAGGTGACGAATTTCTGTCTCTTTGTATATTACAAAATTATGTTAAGGCCTATGGTTGCCTCGTATGATATAAGTATATGTTTTACCTCTGCTCTTTACCCAAACAAAGCCTGAAACTGTATTCCCTTTAAAATGTTTCTGTTGCAGGCTATGGATACACTTCTGTGCAGTTTATGTCCTCACCATTTTTATCTGTTATCTTCTTTACTATGTAAGTCATATACCTTTACAGCAATGCTAGGTGGGATGGCCTAATCTCGAAAGGATTTTAATATATCTTTTATTTTTTAATCCAAGCTACTTTACCTCAATTTCATTATCTTAAATTAGATAACTACCGAACTGTCTGATCTAAAAGTTTAAGTTGTTAAAAAGATAATACATATATATTTCAACACGCCCCTCAAGTGCTGGTGGTTCATTTTTCATCAAAGATCATACATGTACCCAATTTTATAAATGAGTGGTAGCAAGATTTCAACTTAGGACCCCTATTTGCACATGAGGGGGAATGTTGAAATGCTTAAAAAATAAGTTTGTCTTCTCTCTAACAACTTAAGCTTTTAGAGAAGGTGGTTCAACAAATAATAATGTTTTGATGCCTTTGATTTTCCTAATATGTTATAGTGGTTCTTTCTCCCATTTCTCTTGTTCTCATGCTTCCCATTTGTGTACCGTACAAAATTATAAGATTATAAAACAGTATTCTCATTTTATTAAGGTTTATGAGAACTAGAAAGATAACAGAAATAACTAACTTCGAATTGGTTCTAATAGTATTGATTGTCCAGGAATACAAGTACATATCTTCAAAAAGGATTGCTTATTTTGATTCGTCCAAACCTCAGCCACATCAATTTACTATTTTGGTCCACAGTATCCCTGTCTCTGCTGGCGGCAGTATTAGCAACAATGTTCAGAGCTTTTTCATGGAATACCATCCTACTACATATTTATCACATCTGGTGGTTCAGAAAACATATATATTTAGCAATCTCGCTGTAAGCTGTTTCTCCTCCCTTTTAATTTCAACAACTATCATTATTGCTGTAATTTGAGCAGTCCAAATTTTGGGGAAATTGCAGGAGTGGTCCTTAACCTTTTTATTTTTTTGCAGACTTTATCCTAATCTTTATTTTGTGCCAACGAAAGCCCCTAACATTTCATAAATATGCACCTGAGATCCATCTGGATGGAAACAGTCCAAAACACTGTCAGGGAAAAATTTCTTGAACTATCTGCTACTGTGACGATTTTATTAAATGTTGATACCATTTGGACAGTGTTTTTGAACGATGTTTTGAATGGTTTTATTGGATGTTGATTCCTTAATTTTTCCGGTGAACTAACGGTGTTTTGGATGGTTTCCATCCTGATGGATCTCAGACGTGTATTTATGAAATGTTAGGAACCTCCGTTGGCACAAAATGAAGGTTAGGGTAAAATCTGCAAAAAATGAAAAGATTAGGGACCGCTGCTGCAATTTTCCCCCAAATTTTTTTGCCTTTCCTTGTTTTCCAAAAAATCTTTTGCGTTTCAAGCAAAAGTCTTAACTGCCATTATTAAATCTCTGTTTATCGGATAGAGCAAGATTATGAATTTCAATCAAGTTTAATATATTTGTGCGATTAATCCTTTGTTTCTGCTATTAAACTACAGATTTGAAATGGGAATATCAACCTATTCAATGAAAATGTGAAATTTAATCAACTTCAGTACATGCACATTAAAGATACTCCCTTAATGAATTATTAGGCAACTTAAATACTATATTTTGCAAGATTGTTCCCCTCCATCATTCAATATTTATGTTCCTGCATTACCAAATGTGCTTCTATAAAAGGTGAGTAAAATGGCTTCCCCATTTACTAACTGAAACAATAGATCCAAAGTTTCAGGGTGGTGGTTGTAGGCTATTTAGGGGAAAGTTTGATATTGTGAATCACTATAAAAAGAAGCCAAAATATTTATTTGGAATGTGAAATTGGAGCCAACAGACATACCCATAACAAGTTTACACGTTCAAAATTTTCTTTCTTTCAATCAGTGATGGTATATATATTTGACTCTATTTATTTCTTCTATGCGTGCTTTCTGGTCAAATTATTTGCAACTTCATCCAAATAGTAAATGCCCAATCACATACTTTTTGAGGCTTTAAACGAAGGAATTGTTTCTGAAAGAGAATATTATTGACCACAAAGTTTGCGTTGGAGCCAAAAATTAATGTGCAGTCTTCTTTAAATGTTTTTAATTGCTTTTTCCTAGTGTAACAACTATATTAACTTCTTATGTGCTGCCCTTTGCTTTCTTTGCCCTTTCTTTTCCCCAAAAAAAAAAGATGCGAAAGGAAGTTCAAGCTGCCTTTGTCTCTTTCAAGTCTCGATATGGTGCTGCCATGGCCCTACATCTGCAACAATCAGACGATCCCACTGAGTGGGTAACTGAGCAAGCACCAGAACCCCACGATGTCTACTGGCCTTTCTTCTCTTCATCGTTCATGCTAAAATGGATCTTGAATCTTGTTGTCATTGTTGCATACGTTCTTCTTACAATTTTGTTCTTCATCCCCGTGTTGATTGTGCAAGGTCTAAATAACCTGTCTCAGTTAGAAGTCTTGTTTCCATTCCTGACGAGCATCCTGAAAATGTAAGCATTTGTCGTTGCACATCTATTAACATAAAGTTGAACTCCCTTTTCCTCAGTGTATATGATAAGAGTTGACCATCGAAATGCACGGAGAATTCACTTAAGATAATATTCTAACATCTGCTTTTCATCATTGCACATTTATTGACTATTGTTGTAAATTCTACTAAAATGATCTACAATTTTCTAACATCTATTTTTCAGTTACTGCATGAGCAATAAGTTACTGAACAAGGAACATCAATTTTCTACTGAGATTCATTGGTCATTCTTGCAGAACTTTTGTCAGTCAAGTTGTCACAGGATACCTTCCCAACCTGCTTCTTCAGTTGTTTCTGAAAATGACACCTCCTGTCATGAAGTTTTTATCTTCGATTCAAGGATTTCCCTCCCCAAATTTTAACTGTATAGCTACATGAGATGAAGATGGTGAAATTTAAACATCCTTTGGGAACTATCTTATGCAGATTAAAGTCATTGTAAGTTTTTTCCGTAGTGAGCTAAATAGCCGAGGAATGGTCAAACTAAGACTCATAGTCAATAAATTGACATTATTTTAATGAAGATAACAAATGCAGCAGCGACAAACTAAGTGTTCCTTGCAGTACATTGGAGTTGGGTCTTTGGCCACTCCATTGCATTCATTGTTATGTATACTAGAAGATCCGCACCAAATAGTTTGCACTAGGGTATAGTGGAAATTGATTTCACACGTAATCTATACAAACTAGGTAAAGTTAGACTAAATCTCATCTGATTCTGTTTGTACAGTCCCCAAAGACATCCTAAATGTCCCAGGGCAGTTTGCACTAGAGAAGGAAGTAACATATGATGTTGTCTGATAATCACATCTCATATCATCATCATCATTGTCGTCATCATCATATACTTGGTTATTATTTCTGTGCAGGCATCTTTCTTCATTGCCTATGTTGTCACATCAGGATGGGCGAGTACTTCATCAGAACTATTCCGCCTCATCCCACTTATTTGGAGCCTACTAAGAAAGCCTTTTTCTGAACCTACAACTGACGAATTTGAAGCTCCAAGTTTTTCTTACCATTGGGACATTCCGAGGGTTCTGTTTTTCTGTCTACTTGGAATAATATACTTCTTTCTTGCTCCTCTAATCTTGCCATTTTTACTGGTTTACTTCTGTCTTGGATATATCATCTACCGTAATCAGGTTAGTTAATTACCTGCCTATTACTCTTTTCATTTACTTTTATTCGTGCAAATTACCCTTTTATGATGCTGACCAAAGGATGTGAAATTGACGTGATCATAAAGTCATTGCCTGAGTTATCTACTGGAAGTAGTTTATTTGAAGTACATGCCTATCTCGTGGGAAAGTATCTAATTTCAAAGTACTTTATTGTCATTGCGATTTTTTATTACGGTAATTCATAATGTAAAAGCATTCACAGGCATACCAGGATAGAAGATTTGTAGAGTGAAATTTCAACATCACTCAATAACCAAATCAATGGTCTGCATTATTTAAAACATTAGTGCTATTTATACTTAATATCCTAGTGAAAATGGAAAATTACTTAACTAAGAGAAATGGAAAGTTACCTAACTTAAACCTAATAACTAGTGAAATAAATAAATCAAGATACAATCAAATAAATCGAAGTACAATCAACTTCCTAATTCCACTTCCTAAAATAAGTGTCCAAGGCTAGTCTTTGGATCATAGTCTATCACAATCTCCGCCTTTTGCTTGTGGGACTCTTTATCATCACCTTCTAGTTGTCGCATAAACCGAATGAGGGGGTCTTCCATGAATGAGCGCTTGCAGCACTACTCCTAGATGCCAATATCGGATTAGCTATGCAAGTATGGTGACAATGATCACTATAGAAAACCAAATACTACTATCTCACAGCTAGGCAAGCGTTAATGCATTATAGTGGAAGCGACCACCTGGCTACTAAAGCAAGTGCTAACCTAGGTGTAAACATTAAGTGCTTTAGTGCAGATAGGGTCATTCGCATCGATATGCCCTTGCAGTGTCTCTCATAAGGGGAAAACGTATAATGACGAGAAAGAAATGCTCTATACAAAAGGTGTCATTATATATAAAGTATAGAAAATGTAGCACCTGTAAATAAATTCTGAATTAACAATTTAACTTCCTGAAATTTTTAGAAACGCATTTGGAGCTATATTTCTCTTAAATTCATGATTTTTATATAGGACCTGCAATTACATTGTTTCTCATTCAGTCTGTTTCATGATAGATTGCCTAGTTTTAAAAATTGTTCAGATAAATGGAAAAGAAACAATTAATCAACCCTGTGTTGGAAATTGTTGCTAATATAAGAGTATATTTTGCAGTTTATCAATGTTTATGCACCCAAGTACGAGACTGGTGGAAAGTACTGGCCTATTGTGCACAATTCAATAATCTTCTCCCTTGTACTGATGCATGCTCTTGCTGTGGGAATTTTCACACTAAAAAGGCTTTCTCTAGCATCAAGCTTGATGTTTCCTCTTCCAGTTATGACGCTTCTCTTCAATGCATATTGCAGGAAGCGCTTTCTACCCATTTTTACCGCCTTCTCTGCTCAGGTATGTTACATTGCAGTCATGTACCTTCCAGTCATGTTAAAAATGATAGATAATATTGATCAACATCTGTTGTGTTACCATTTCATGGTTAACGCTCCAAAATATCATCTTTCTTTACTTTCTAGCTCTTATTTCATTGTATCCTTGTTTGGACATTTTTAATTTTCAAGTTTGGCTAACGTTAGCATGCTGGGTAGGGAAGATTGGATAGTAGATGACCTTTTTAGCATGTTTTGAAGGGAAAATTGGATAGTACAGAACAATCTTAAGGAAGAAAAAGAAGCTAAATTTAAAACTATCCATTGCCGCATACCAAACATACACTTGATGCCCCCCCCCCCCCCGTTTAGAGACGTGAATTGAAGGGAGAAACTTCAATATGCGGATTATCAACCAATCAATTGTCTACATAATTGAAGACTTCTGACCTATTTAAGTTTAAATTCTTAATAAATAAAAAAATGAAAGTAACCAAAATAATAAAAGTGAAAATTTTAACTTGATAATCGCGAGAAGAAATAAATTAAATATAATCAGATCAGTAAGATAAATCACAACTTATTCTGTACCCTAAAATAAGTATATTTTTTGCATGATTGTGATGACTGCTTGTTCCATCTAACACTACACCAGAAAAGTGTGCCACGGTATTTCTCTTTGATGAGCAGAGTATAGGCTGGTTATAATAATAACAAGATTTTAACTTCGTTTCTATCTTTAATATTGTCCAGTACCATACAGATTGTCTAGCAAAATGAACAATATCTATTGACATTCAACTCTTCAACTCTCTAACATACACCTATTGTATTGCAACTCATCAGAGGTTAATTAAAAAGGACATAGATGACAGCAGTGATCCCGAATTAATGGCCGAGTTTTTCAGTAAATTGGTCATTGCATATCAAGAACCTGCTTCGTCGCCATTGGATCATTCTACCAACTGTGACAGCGAAACATATCCTCTTCTCTCGCCGACTCAATTTTGAAGCTTATCAGGTATATAATATATATGATTGTGCATATCTTGTATAGATTCGTATATTTGGACGCAATCTTTGTAATGAAGTAAGTCAATAACGGTCAGCAATTAGTCTCTCAATAGTAAGCATCAGCCACTAGATCAATTTCGGAAAATTATTGACACAATGTTTCCATATCCTTGTATATACTCAGTTTTCCACACGGTTATGAATTAGCAGTTTTTAATCCTTCTGACCCTGTTCTTGATCTAATATGGAGATAGGGTATGTTTGTTATGCCTCTCATGACTCGTTTAGGAATGATCAATTCATGAGGGAGGTTGGAGTATCACAAGAAGGACTGTAACGATTCCCAGGATTTGGAGTAACGAAGGTGTATTTGGGGTCACACATTGTGTGTCAGATCCAACCTGGTCATTGATTTAGCCAAAGTACCATATTATGGAGTCAAGCTCGAACAACCATAATCGAGGAACATGGTCCTTCTATGTTTTAGGGAAGTCGAGGTTTAGAACAACTGGAGGCGACTTTCATTTAACAAAGGCAGATAATTAGAAACTTGTGTAGATACACTGCCTCCAACAGCATTTTTCTTTGTAATTTACCTGGAAAATGGAAAAAAGATAATCTTTAATCATAGTGGACACAATCATATTAATTTCTGCCATGATGTCATTTCAACAATTAAAATCTTGAATGGAATACAAACTTATTACATTCTTGAATGAATAGTCTTAATTCACTTAAAAACTTGTGTTGAAGAATACTGATAAATGATAATTCAGGCAAATTTTTATTTTTTTTTTTTTGGATATAATTTAGGAATTCCCAATATGGATTTGTTTAGCACAAACACTCCTTGAACAGAGTGATTTTCTTAATTCCATGTCTGAACCCGTCACACTGCCCAATTATTTAATAAATAAGTTTTTGAAGGGTTATTTGATATTTATACATTCTAATTATTCCGTTTACTTCAAGATGTATGACTATAAATAATTATATTTTTTTTCTTTGTTGATTTTAAATAGTTTATATGCATATATTTGATTAGTGAAAGTGAAAAATAATTAAGTAATGAATCCCCAACCATATAGGGGATCATGACAAATGACGATTAGTTCAAAAATAAAGTGAAATTCAGTAATTGATGCCGTTTATTTAGTCGTAATTATTAACTTTTTTAATAACAATTTTTTTCCCCATTTGGCCGGCCAATGTAACCTCGAGGAGAAAGGTATGTAAATCAACCTAACGACACGTCTACATAAGCTTAATAGTTGGCATTTTTAGTACGTCGGCAAGGTGAATTCTACAATTTTAAAGAAAAATTATTATTATTATTATTATGTACAGTTAAATTTTGTCTATTACGATGTATTTAATATGTAATTATAGTTTGACTAATCTCGATAGTTTGTAAAGGACACAATATCTTAAAGATTTTTGCAAGGCCAAAATGGATACTATGTGGTCCAACTCGAATTTATAAGTTGAAAATTCAAGGCCTAGTAATCATAGTGTTCCATCACCAAATTCCAACCAAGTTTTTTAATCCTCAAGAAAATGAAAGTAGACCCCACGTACCCCACCCCACACCACCCCCTTTTCCCAAGTGCATGAATTGCTCCCTTCTAATCCCACCATCATTTGACATGTTGAGAAAAGTTGGGGCAAAAGGGTGGCATAAAGGAGGATTAGATTACATAGTTTGGCTACAAGGATAAAATAAGATCAAAAAAGGAATAAGTTTATGTTCTTTATGATAAGATATGAAAGGTCGTTTGGTAAAATTTTTGAAAAGTCAAAAATTATTTTTGAATATATTTAAATAAATTTATGTAAGTATTTTATTTGACTAAAAGAATTTTTAGAAAAAAAAACTCGTCTAAAATAATTTACTCATAAAGCTCTTCCTTTAATAAATAAAAATAAATCCAGACAAATGGGCCCGAGGGTTATTTTCAACCATAATACATTCCCTTTTTATCAATTGTCAATCCTATGAGGGGCTACTTATGACCAAAAAAAGGTCAAGTAAAAATAAAAGTAAAATTGTTAGTGAAATTAGTACCCATTCAGTCTTTTTTGTATTTGGTACAAAGACTATCTATTTTTAATTACTTGATTGAAGATTCCATGCTTATCTTATTAATTTATTAATAGTGAAAAGTAAAGATCTTTAGGGATACATATATTTTTACGGAATCATCATAATCGAATCTAAACTGATTGATCTACATAATCGAATCAAATCAAAATAGTTAACTCTGCTTCGAACTTTAGTTTCTATTCTTCGCTACACAGAGAAACTTTTAATAGTAGTTTTGATAGTAACTATGTTTAGCACAAAACAACTCCATTAATAAACTAGCACTACACTATAATCAATTGGAAGACGACGACAATTATGACGATAATTACAATTACCACAATGTTCGATGGATTTAATGATGATTAGAGAATAGAAACTATTAATAGATTAGGATTTAGGCAGTTTGGGTTAATGAATCAAGAGAAAGTCCAATCAGTATCTACTTTATTACAAGGCTCATTGATTAAGTGCTAAACTCCAATAACTACAAAGCCTTTTGCCTCTTCATTTGACTTGATACTACCTTAATCACGGACAAAAGCAGGGTCTATAATGTTTTTACTTTACTAATGTTCAATACAAAGTCAAACCTTGAGCAATCGTGCTTTATGCAGAACAAATATTTTGTATTTTTGACTGAATCGAATTGTGTCAGCGATAAAATTTCACATATCCCTTTTTTATTTTTTTTATTAATTCTCGATCTTTTAAAATAAAATTTAAAAATCGATATGTTATTAAGAGCCTAAAATCTTCAAATGAGCAATCAAATTAAATTCTTCCAAAAAGTAGGGGGAGGGTGTGGTGTTGACCAAGAACCAAGAACCATAGGTTTTCTTATAGTCGATTTTTTTATGGAATCGAACCGAATGGCTCCAATTTGGCTTGGTTCAATTCTATAACAAAAAATTTTAAATTATTAATGCAAATTACAATACAAAAGTCCATCTCCAAAATTTAATACTCACATTCAAAATCAAAATCAAAACAATACAAAATATTGTCCAACAAAAATTCTTCACCAAATCAACAAATAAAAATAATTGATTAAAAATAATAAGTGAGTTTGAACCCGTTATCACTTCTTGGTTCTGAATACTGGAATGAGAATCGAACAAAAAAATCAATTAATGTCTCACTGCAAAGTTTGTCCATGGAGGATAAGTCAAGACCTAAGATCAGACCCAAAGGCAAACCAAAAGAGTTTAAAATTTAAGCAAAATCTAATTGAATTAAACAACTTGATTTTGGTTCGATTGATTGCAATTCTTTTATCATCCTTCCCTATCCAACTAAAAGTTTAATAGTATATACGAATTTCAAGACTATTGTCGTAAAATTAGCTACTATTTTCTTTTAAAACTAGGTCCACCTTTTTCCTGTTGAATATTTGTATGAACCTGCATCCAAAACTTCCTCACCACTGGACAGAGGGAAAAGACAATCTCTCTGTCCTCTCTCTCTATATATTATGTACATACATACACATATGAACAATAACTTCAGTTTTTGCTGATATGAATCTCTCTTCTCTCTCATGCAAGTAGGCCTTTTCTGTTCATTCTTTGATCCCTTTTCAGCAAATCATGGACGAAACAGAAGAGTCCAATACAAACAAGAAATGCACGAGAAGTTTCAGAAGGAATGGAAATACTCAAAACTATCAGTATCAAAACCAATTTCTGTATCGCTCTAATAGGGTTAATGGCTTTGGTTATGGATTTAGTTACCAAAATCAGTACCCTTCTCTACTTCCTCTGCCTCCAAGCATTCCTCTGCAAATGGCTGTGGCTCCAACTTTCCCTCAGTACCACCACTTTGGATCAAAAACCCATTTGCAGAAACCCTCAGGGAAACAGAATAATCCTCCTCTTTCCACCTCTTCTGAATCCCAGGTCCAAGATTTCTCAGTTGCACAAGGTAAATAGTTATAAACCCTTTTCTTTTCTTTTTTCAATATGAGTTTTGGGCATAGTGTTCTTTGATTTTTGTGACTGCATGTTATGTTAATTCCCATTTTGGAAACTAGCAAAAGGATTATCGTAGAGGAAATAAAATGTATGCTAAATGCCTGATGATGGAAATCAACTTACTATTCTATAACAAAATGAAGTCTTGGTCTTTGGAGTATTGTTATCTTCCTACTATGAACTTTGTCAAATTTTAAATTTTTAACACTATATTTGGTTTTCAATTCTTTCTGTTCTTATTTTGTCATCCAGCATCTCAAGAATGAATCACTGAGTTGTGTTCAATTTTGGAGATTTGATATTCAAGAATGATATTTTATGTACTAGAAATAAGTTGAGGTCTGAACTTTTCGTGTTAATGCTTTTTAGGTCTAAGAATTTGGTGGAATATATTGTGGTGAAGATGAGATGAAATTCTATTAGTGTGATTTATTGTTGTTCTGAATTCCGTTATCGAAACAGCTTGGACAAATTTCCATCCACAAACTTGTCTGCCTTTCCATGAGAATGGTAGGATGGTTATGGATGCTAGACCAAAACCATTGGCAGTGGCAAGCAGACCGGACTCAGGTGGTATAGAAGGAAAAGTTATCACTCTCTTTGCTAATCATTTCGTAGTCCAATTCGACCCTTCACAGCGAATCTTTCATTACGATGTCAATATAGCTCCACATCCATCGAAGGAAATTTCAAGAATTATCAAGCAAAAAATTGTTGAGGACAATTCAGCTTTGCTATCTGGTGCTCTTCCAGTTTATGATGGTCGAAGGACCATATATAGTCCGATAGAGTTCCAAGATGATAGGTTTGAATTATATATTAGTCTCCCAATGTTTAGTGGAAAACCAATAGATATAATGAAATCTGAAGAAAGGCAGCAACTTAAGCTTTTTCGTATCAACATCAAACTTGTTTCCAAATTTGATGGGAAAGAACTAAGCAGCTACTTGCGTAAAGGAGGAGAAGATTGGAGTCCCCTTCCTCAAGAGTATATCCATGCATTGGATGTGGTCTTGCGGGAGAGTCCAACAGAAAAGTGTGTAGCAGCCGGAAGATCATTTTACTCCAGTTCAATGGGAGGGGCAAAAGAAATTGGAGGAGGAGCTATTGCACTAAAAGGCTTCTTTCAGAGCTTAAGACCAACACAACAAGGGCTTGCTCTCAATGTGGACTTCTCGGTGACAGCTTTTCATGAGAGTATTGGAGTGATCCCTTATCTGCAAAAGCATCTCAATTTCATGCATAATCTCTGTCAGAAGAAGACGAGAGGTATGACGAGTGAAGAGAAGAAAGAAGTGGAGAAAGCACTAAAAAACATCAGGATCTTTGTTTGCCATAGAGAAACTTTTCAGAGATATCGGGTTTGTAGCTTAACAGAGGAAGTTACCGAGAATCTCTGGTTTCCAGATAGAGATGGCAAAAGTTTAAGACTTGTTGACTATTTCAAGGATCACTATAACTATGATATACAGTATAGAAACTTGCCATGTTTGCAGATTAGTAGGAGGAAGCCTTGTTATTTGCCAATGGAACTTTGTGTGATTTGTGAAGGGCAGAAGTTTCTAGGGAAGC